TTGAACCGCCTAGTACAGTCATCATCATAAGCAGGCAGACGTTTGAAATTAGCTCTTGCTAAGCAGGGTGCAACACTTGGTGAGTTGATGTCAATTCGGAACCAGCTTCGGTCATAATGGATAGTTCGAATATATGGGATGGAGGAGGCATTTGATGGGTTGGAAAGTGTGATTAAAAGTGAATGAATCTCAGGCCTCTGAAGAAGGCGTTGTGCCGAAACGTTGGACTTCGAAATAAAGTGTTTCACTAACAACCTGTGACATACAAAAGAACAAGATGAACTAAATATATTGTGTAAATTATATTACGTTAAAAATGCTCAAAATGATGGCATTTATTTTAACCGTTGCTAGTACTAGTATCTCAGAAATTTGTCAAGTTGCTCTCTGATTCTGGAAGTAAGCATTCTTCAAACAGACTAACGAATTATAAATCATCGTACTCTGCAAGCACCTGAAACTGAAAAAAAAAGAAGAACAAGCAACAGAGGCATCAAAATTTTTATTAGGTTTGAGTCCAACTGGCTTAGGACTTATAAGCACCCCATAAGCGCAAAGAAAAGTTGATAGCATGGCTTTTATGATTCCCGAAGGGCCTATATTAAAAACAAGCAGGTAAGGTAAATGATACAACATTGCTTCCGGGCTGCTCTCCCTTCACGCGATTGTTGGCAGTGAAGTAATTGATTAGTGGATAAGTTGTAAGCGTTAATCGGTGATAAGCATGTCTATCAAGTCATTACGGCAGCGAACTATGCATATGTGCACTTCACACATACGAACCAAAAAGCCAATTCATGAAGTTAGGATATCAGAGCATGCTGAAATAAGGGTCCATTTCTTCGCAACAACAGTCCGATCACTGCGTCCCATTTTCAGTGATTAGCTAAGTTTTCTATCGCACTTCTGAAAACCTTTCAGTTTCCGCTGAATAGCATGCAGCATTCAATAATAGAGGTTCTACTGAGTAATTTTCATTTGGTAAATGAATTACTCTGCATTCAGTTTAATTATAATTCCATGG